CTGTTCAGGGATTGTTTGGGGTGGGGGAGCATCCTGGGTTTGCACACATTTCTCTTCCAGGCTTCCCTACCCCAGCATGCGTCCGTCAAGATGGCTGCTCCATTTGCAAACTGCTTGATCCTCACTCTGTCCCTCCCTGATCACAAGTTCAGTTTCCTGCCCTTTCCTTTGCTGTAACAGTTCCATTTTCTGCCTCCAAAACTCTGAATAAGAGTATTTTTTGAAATATTTTCTATCATTTGAGGTATTTTATGATATTTTCTCTAATATACTTCAAGTTCCCTATGCCTCTGGGGATGAAACTTCTAAGTTTCAGCTTTTTATTAGGATGTGTCAGAATCCTACTGTTTTAGGAATCTTACTATGTTTAGAAATCTTAACTATTTTTATTGATGAATATGACAGTAATATAGCACAGAAATGGTTTATAAGCTTCTAAAATGAATGAAAAATGAAGGAAACACTTGTTTATAGTAAAATGTAAGAGTACTTCACAGTTTCATCCTAACAATAACCATATAAATGGGGCAGAATGAGTATTATTTATCAGATAGCAGATTAAAATCAGAGATTAGTTGAAAGTCATCTCAATTCACACAGTAGTGAAAAATCCATAGGTTTAACTCTGTTCCATGTTCTCTTTAGTATATTAAATTGCCTCTGAATAAGGTGATATAAATCTCTTGCAATCTTGTTCACATACATAGTCAACTTGTATCAAATTCTCAAATAGAATCACTATGAACTAAGTAAAAAGAAAATATAAAGACAGCAAAAGCGGGAGCTGATATTTATTGAACACCTAGTATGTGTCTTTATATTTCTTAATTACCTCCTCCATTCAGTACTAATGACCTGTGTCAGTGGTGACCATTAAGCCATTCTTGTAAAGAGATAGCTACCTTTCCCATATTCTCAGGTGTTTATGACAACACACGTAAGCACAATCATCCAGGGTGTGAGCCTTCCCTTTGCTTTTTATCCACATGATACTGCTCTCTAAAAGCAGACACAGCCATAAATGTGTGTTGAAATAGAAAGCAAGAGGTCTAAACAAAACACTCAACCAATGATGAATACTGAGACTCTTCTCTAAATGCTTCCTGTGTACTTATTGTAAATGTTTATAAAGGTAAAAATATTCTCAAAGACAAAATCCCTGTGAAAAAATATCTTCACAGAGTACCAAGAAAGATTACGTTTAAACTCAGCCTTGAAGTATTACACACTTAGGAGTGAAGAGTGAAAAGATCCAACTAATAGTATTGGGGTAGAATTGACAGCTTTTGGTAATTCATCTGATGATTCAGGGAATTGTATTCCAGCTACTTCCAGTAACCACCCACTCTCACGACCACCTGAGGGCCCGTAGTCTGGCATATATTTCCTTCTAGGTACATAGCTAACTTTAGAGAAGAGCCTTATCAAGTGGGTACATCATTAATGAGGAATAGTGCATTCAAACAATATTAGTCATGGGCCAAAAGAACTGGCGTGGTTTAGGAGGCTTTCCTTTGTTATTTGATGAACTGGGTCTGTCTGAAGTTGGGTTTATAATCACTGGTTTTTAAAGAATTTCCGGGCCGGGCGCGGTGGCTCAAGCCTGTAATCCCAGCACTTTGGGAGGCCGAGGCCGGTGGATCACAGGGTCAAGAGATTGAGACCATCCTGGTCAACATGGTGAAACCCCGTCTCTACTAAAAATACAAAACATTAGCTGGACATGGTGGCTCGTGCCTGTAACCCAGCTACTCAGGAGGCTGAGGCAGGAGAATTGCCTGAACCCAGGAAGCGGAGGTTGCGGTGAGCCAAGATCGTGCCGTTGCACTCCAGCCTGGGTAACAAGAGCGAAACTCCATCTCAAACAAAACAAAACAAAACAAAACAAAACAAAACAAAACAAACAAACAATAAAAAAAAAAGAATTTCCATGATGCTGAATTTTTACTAATTCTAGCTCAGGCTAACAGTTTGCATCTATTTTTGAAAGTTAGCAAGAACTCTTTCTGCAGCATGAACAGTACCAATTGTCCTGAATGTTCTAATCCTGAAGAGCAATCTGGTTTTGTCATCTCTTTCTGTTTTCTGCAATTCATTCTTCATAGAATGAATTTTCTGCTTGTAAGTTTTCTGTTGTTGATAGCTTCTGTTTTTTTCTGTTCCCATTCATAGTCTTGAACCAGTTTCTTTTGCAGAGTCATGTTTTCCTGCTGACAGAATTCACTGAGAATTTCTGCTGCAAAGATCTGGCCAAGTTTAGTGAATGAGATCCATGTTCCAGTTTCTGTATGTGTTCATACAGCTCATGTCTGGCTGACAATTCGTCATACAGTTCGGAATGGGAATGGCCACTACCTCTTATGACCATTGTTAACATTAGTTTTGCCTGATTTCTCTTTTTTGATTATTTATTTTCTCACTCTGTTCTGCCAGCTGTCCATTGCCAAATCCATCTCATCCATTTCATTTTATTATTCTTTTTGTCTTTAAGTTCAGAAGCAAGATCAAATTATCTTACCTGTACAGTAAACTTCTTCAAACATCAGATTATTCACTTTGTAAGTAAGATCTTTACCTAGGCCTTTCTGAAGGTTTTGTATAATTTATCAGTACACCAAGCTCAGTATAATGCTCCCTGCCGTCTTCTGATTCTGACAATAATTGTAACCCGGTTTTCTTAAGTCCAGTATTTTCTGTGTAAATTCATTAGAGTTTAGATTCCGTCTTCTCATAACCTAGTTTAAATTCATTTTCTCTGTCAAATGTTATGACATTCTTTGTAAAACCCTACTATATTCAACAGATATCTGTCTTGCCAAATGACATTTCAGTTTGTTTGCATCTTGTTCTTCAATTCTCAATATGACAAGCGGATTTTCCACAGTATTTGATTCATTTCTTTAAACTTGATTGAATATTTAATCCAGATATGTTCAGAAATATTCATATTTTGTTTTTTGATTTCTTCAAAAGATGTGGGTGCTTCTTTAATCATTTTTTCATAATCTTCTCTCTGTTAAATAAAAATTTATATATTTCTTAACATTTGTGCAATATATTGTTTTTATTTGATGAAATCTGTTTGAAAAGCACATTCTTCAGGGGGAAAATGGCAAGTAAGCTAATTCCCAATAAATAAATAATAATTAGAGTCTTCTAAGACATGTTGTAAAAATCAGGGCTGGGCCTTTCTGGCACCGTTGTTGTAGGTAAGACAAAAAGCAGTCAAAGTACTTTCCATTATAATTTCTCTCTGGTGTTTCCTAATGTTTTCTCTTTATCTTTGAATATTCCTAAGTTTCTCCTTCCACATGGTTAGGGTGAATTATTTTTACATGCCACTTGAAATGTAAGTTCGATCATAGGACTACTATATTCAGTTTTGGAAAATTCAAATGGCTTGTAATGGTCCTACCATGTGAACCAAAGACATTGTGAGTATATGGTGGTTGCTAAATAGTTCTTAGTTTAGGTGCTGTCATACTAGAAAAAATATAATTCTTAGTCTTAAGGAAGTTTTATATATTAGATTATGTCTCTCTGTGTGTGTGTGTGTGTGTGTGTGTGTGTGTGTGTGTCTATATGTGTATGTGTGTTTGAACAGATGTATAACTATTTTTCGTAATTTTTAGCGTTCTCTGGGTTTATTTACTAACTTATATGATTCTTCTACTGTTCCCAATCTGGCCAAGATACCTTGTATATGATGAAAACATCCCTTTATTCTAGAATATAGAAAGAAATTTCAGATTTTTCCTAATATTTTGTATTGTTTTTATTGCTCAATTGTTTTTTAACCTCTTACAAAATACAGATGGTCAGACTTATTCTGTGTAAGCATTTGGGAGGAAACTAACTGCCCCACTGATGTTTTTATTTCTCATGATAGTGTTTCCATGTGGGAGCCGGTAGCTCAGGATCACATTGAAAGTCACCTGGATACTAAGGCCTGTGCTGCTTGTGTCTTGAACTTTGTAGAGTTTGGAAGTCATCAGTCCTACTTAGCAGCTCATTCTTTAAAATCAGGCAGTTCTGTGTTTTCCTTGGCCTTCTTCTCCTGGCAAATATTATAAGATCTCAATTCTCACTGTGGGCTAATTATTCTCTTCTATTTGCCTGAACCATAATTCAGTGCAAGGCTACGCCTGCTCAAGGAAATGAGGACAGAAATTATATAATTGAGAATAATGGCTTGAAAGCCATGAACATCTAGAATCTTGTGCTAAGTCTGATGCATACTAGCTTGGTGGTCTTTACTGGTAACTTACCAAAAAAAAAAAAAAAAAAAAAAAAAAAAAAACCAAAACCAAAAACAAACGCAAGTTTTTTTCTCTGCTTTTAAAATGGGATCATCATAAATGCTATTTATTGAATAACAATAATGAACTTGTCCTTGTAGAAAAATCAGGCCTACAGTTACTACCTAAACACTGCCTGATTAAAATGGTTGTGATTTTATTTAGGTGGTTGTTGATCAGTGAAATTCCAATATATTCACATTTAATGAAATATAAATATTTGTAAAGATTATTTTCCATTACTAATATATACATTTAACTAACTGCTAACTAAACATTTTCAGAAAATTATGATGAACCTGACTGAAAAGAAACTATAAATCATTTGGATTTAGTGCTTTTAAACTATTAATTTGTACTTTATATACTGAAAAGAAATATTCCCAAGAAACATAAAATTCAACACTAGCAATTTTCTTAGCAAACCCTTTGTTTATTGATGATATCAAAGCAGGATGAACAAAAATTCTGAATTGTTAGTGTTCTTAGGTAACATTAGATGATCGTGTGTCTAGAGTAGCTTTTATAATTAAACGAAGCTTAAGAGTTTTGCTGACAGTACCAACCTTTACAAATATCTGATTCCTTTCTTGAAGTTAGTTGTTAAAAACAATGAGAAAATATATTGAAAATATTTACTAGCCATTTTAGAATGAGGGAAAAAGTTAAACTGCACTCAAAAAATTACCCTTTGTATTTCAGGCCCTCCAGGGAAACGAGGTAAGAGAGGCCGAAGAGGAGAATCTGGTAAGTCTCTCTTTCAGCTGCTCTATGTCACTCATGTTCTGGTTAAGTTCCGGCATCTGTTCTTCCTAATTAATGATAATATTGTCTTGTCAGAGGTTGTGAGTGTGTGTTTATTTAAATCTTCTCTGCTGGACCTAGTGTTTTTTTATTTTTTATTTTTAATCTTCTTATTTCTATCAAACTACAAAAAGGAGAGGTTTGCAAAGTATTGTTAATTGCAGCGTAAGAACGATTACCAACAATGGGTTGGTACCCATTTTGGGCTTATTTACTGGGTCAAGCTAAGTCTGTCCTTTGTGTATACAATGGAGGACTTCTCAGATGCACACAGTGTGACAGCATCATCCATGTTTTTGTCTGTGTAGGTGGTCGGTAAATGCAGGTCCTTTGCAAAACCATCTGCCTTGGAACACTAGGGCACAAGTCTGAGAAAGCTGCATTGCTGTTTTATCCAATTGGCACAATTTTGTCATGCTTTTACTCTTATTCTTTTCAAAATTTGGGAATATTTTATTCTTGTACAATCATGGCATTTCAGTGATGACAGGAGTCTTAGTAATCAATCCAGAATTTTCATTTTGTCATTGAAGAAATGGAGGCCCATAGCAGTCAGGTGATTTGGCCAAGGCAGAACTTGAAACAGAACCAATTGTCCTGATTCCTACTTCAAGACATTCTTGCTTTCAGGCCAAATCCCTATGTGTAAAACAAATCCACAATGTAAAACAGAAAAATCAAGTAAAATTTCTTTGGAAACCAAGGTGATCTGTGTAAATGAGTTTACTTAAAATTGTTTTTCTTTTCTTTGGAAATGACCACATAAAGTCTTATCAAGCCATTAAATCTTCCATGCAAGATAAAGTAATTTAAGGTTTGACTCAAGCATGCTATAAATTGTTATTTTTAAGTATTTCCTCTAAGTATTTGTCAATATTAAAAATAATCAATTAGTAAGTGTTGAAACAGTAGACACATTAACCTATCAAGAAGAGCTGACAGGAGATTGATGTGTGTGTGTTTTTTTTGTCTCATTTCCTCTTCCATTTTAAGAAAAATGTAAAAGTAAAAAGAGTTTATGAAAATGTATTAATTTGAGCAGTGTAGTTGCTTAATATTTTTAAAGAGTGTTGTCAAAAGCTACCTTTAAATATGATTGAATCTAAATAATTGGAAACTTGTATAGGTATCCCTTTACAAAGTACCAAGTTTTCTAACAGAGAAAACTTTATGAATTTGTTTTGAGGAAAAAGAAATGATAAAACATTAGTGGAGTCAGATAATCATAGAAATGATCTTTGATCATTGTCAAAGGAAAGAGAATTATGGGGGAAGAGTGAAAAATTTACGCTTATACAAAGTTTCATAGAAAATAAAAGCCAATTTCCAACTTCCTAACTACTTGGAACTAGTATTTTAATTGAGCATAATGGTATGTGAAATATTTAAAGTTGTCTTAGACTTTGCCTGTTTTGATGGTTTTAAAGAAACTTACATGAACATGAGGACCTAGTCTTTTATGTATTTACAATAGTGTTGAACAAAAAATTCTAAGGACAAATAATAGGTACATTTCTCATTTGGCTGTTTTACCAAATTCAAGAAGTTATATATCAATTCTCTACAACTGGTCTATTATAAATTACCAAATATTCTCATAATTCATACTTATCTAAACTCTTATAAATTAGTCTTTACTAAGGTATATGAGCCTCTCAGTAATTCATAGACAGGCTTCAGGGAATCTAAAAATTACTTGGAATTTTACATAAAATTTTGTGTGTAATTATACATTTTTCTGAAATGGTCTCAAAGCCTCCACGGCCTAGAAAAGATTAAGAATCGATGAATTTTTAAAAAACTTCCATGTCTGTTATATCATGCTGATGATTATGCTCAAATCTTTTATTTGATTTTAATATTTTGCGTCTTCACTAACTCATCTCTCCTCCTTCTTCTCTCTCCACCTGCCCCCAACCCCACCTGCATAGGTCCTCCTGTAAGTATGTTTGCTGCACTTTGGCTTCTTTGCATTTGTCTGGATCACGTATGTTAAAACTTTGTTGAAACATCAAAATATAGCCTCTATGTCTATTAGAAAAATGTTACTGACCTTTTAAGAGTATACTTAAGTTTGGGAAATTATTTTTTAAGTATACAATTTTGTGATTGTGTGATGCATTAGAATGCAGTATATATCCATTGAAAATTTTTTCAAATGTTCTTTTATTTCCATAGGTTATTGGGGAACAGGTGGTATTTGGTTACGTTAATAAGCTCTTTAGTAGTGATTTGTGAGATTTGGTGCACCCATCACCTGAGCAGTATACATTTCACCTTATTTGTAGTCTTTTATCCCTCACCGCTTCCCACCTTTTCCCCCTGAGTTTTCAAAGTCCGCTGTGTGATTCTTATGCCTTTGGGATCCTCATAGCTTAGCTCCCACTTATGAGTGAGAACATATGATGGAAAGCATTTATTTTTGATATGATCACACACCAATTACTCTCATGGGAGTTTTAGATAACTTATGAAGCTTCTGATTTTAAATGCTTTTCCTGGAATTCTGAGGTTTATTTTGTAAGCAAATCTCCAAGCTATTTCACAGTTATTCCTTCATCTGTTTAAACTTGTATCTGAAATATTTGCATTTGCCAGTCTACCAAATGTAGATGGCAACATGATCACGGAAATGATACCCTCAGTGAGCCTGGACCAGTCCTCCTTCCTTAGGCAACGCTTCCTTTGAAGTCTGCTGGAGTTTTGCCTGCATGAAGAGAATGAGATGGAGCCCTTGGAGAGTTTCACTTTCTTTTTTCTTTCCTTGAGTAGGTCATAGCTCCAGCATTCCAGTCTGCTTTGCACTCACAGGAACAGATTATCTTGTCAGCTCTGAGCTAGATGTGTTTTTGAGTAATATCCTGGATGTCTGTGTCTGACCCCAGTGTTTATACTGTGCACTGTGCATTTACAGTAGCGATGATCACTGGCCTTGAGATATTTTCTCATCCCAGATAGCCAGTTTGCTCCAGAGTTCACAGACTCCACGTTGGCAACTTATCTAACAGGCCAGCATGGTCCAGGGAGAGAGGCTTAGCGTCTACTCGTTTACTTTATTCAGAGGAAGCATTGGCTTCCAAATATCTTTTGCAGTCTTCCTGCCATGTTCAAGGATGGAACATTAATCATGTTAGAAATGACTTTGCTTCTGTAACTGACTTTCAGCTCTTGCTTAATGCTAGGCAGATGGCATGCCCTAGGTCTAGGAGTCTTTACTTTCTGGCTTCATACTGAAGCCTTTTCATGTTAAGTAAGTAACAAACCGCTACTACCCAGAGGAAACTTCTGAGGTTATGGCTGGAGTAGAGTGTTCAAGGCTTCTTTCTGTGGAATCCACATTAGCTATGCCAAGAAGTAGTTAAATCTCATTTCTGCCTTAGGAATTCTTCAGGGTTCTAGTACTTCCTCTTTGGTTCCTGGAAAACTCAGGCAACCATATAGCTCTCGCTTTCTTGGGGCCATCTGTTAGTCTAAATTCTCTACCTAAAGATGTCAATTGTTCCTCCTTTTCTTCTTATATATAAGTAAGAGAGAATTAGTCTTAAGCCCCTAGTGTAAGGCAAGGAATATTCCAGGTACTTTACATGTATAATTTCATTTTGTTCTCACACCAACCCTCTGATGTTACCATTCCCATTGTTCAGTGAGGAAACTGAGGCTCATAGAGGTTAATTACCAAACATTGCACAGCTAGAGGATTTGCAAAGTTAAAATTCAATTAGTTATGTCTGATTTTAAATAGACTTAGTTTACCACTTTATTCCATTCCTTATGAATTATAGTTGTGCTATAACGTGGGTCATTGTTACATGGGTTTGGTAGGCCATTGGTCAAATCATATTCCTTGATTAAAACAATCACACATACTGGCTGGGCATGGCAGTGGCTCACATCTTTAGTCCCAGCACTTTGGGAGGCCGAGGCGGGTGGATCACTTGACATCAGGAGTTTAAGACTAGCCTGGTCAACCTGGTGAAACTTTGTCTCTACTGAAAATACAAAAAATATAAAATAAAATTAGCTGGGCGTGGTGGCATGTACCTGTAATCCTAGCTACTAGGGAGGCTGAGGCAGGAGAATCACTTGAACCTGGGAGGCAGAGATTGCAGTGAGCTGAGATCATGCCACTGCACTCCAGCCTGGGAGACAGAATGAGGTGTTGTCTCAAAAAAACCAAAAACCAAAAAACAATCACATATTTTAAAATTATGGCCAAAAATGCAAAATGACTAATCTATAAAACAAGTTTTGATACTGTTCCACCTTTAGTACATTTGAAAGAAGTTGTAATATGTTTGGCAAATAGCATCAAATCCAAGAAATAAAGTATAATCATGAGTTTTCATACTGACTAGAAGATAATTCAAGTTGCTTATATTTGACAAGATGAAAATCCATTCATTGATTGTACAAAAGAGAAAAAAACATTGAATGTGCTATCTTTACTAATACAGCAAGGACCTACCATAGTACTTAAGACCCAATGTCAGGGACTTCCTTGTGGATAAAATATATTATGATGAAATCCTCTTGAGCTTCCAATTTTTAAATCTCCATGTATAATATCTAAAAAGTATCTGCCTTCCATCAAATTTTGCTTTAGAGTAGGTGGCTTTATAACAAATTTCTGGTACATTTTTTTATATCTGAGTAAATATTAATGAACAATGGGATTATAACAGTTAGATGAATTTACCAGCAATATGTTTATTGAGAGGCAATAACCAATTACTGACAATTTTAATTTCTAGGGACTATTCCTATTTTTACATCATTTTAATTTTAGGCACAGTTAACCGTTGAACAATGTAGGGGTGAGAGGCACCACCCCTCTGCTCAGTGAGAAACCCACAGATAACTTTTTTTTTTTTTTTTTTTTGAGATGGAGTTTCGCTCTTGTTACCCAGGCTGGAGTGCAATGGCGCGATCTCGGCTCACCGCAACCTCCGCCTCCTGGGTTCAGGCAATTCTCCTGCCTCAGCCTCCTGAGTAGCTGGGATTATAGGCACGCGCCACCATGCCCAGCTAATTTTTTGTATTTTTAGTAGAGACGGGGTTTCACCTTGTTGACCAGGTTGGTCTCGATCTCTCGACCTTGTGATCCACCCGCCTCGGCCTCCCAAAGTGCTGGGATTACAGGCTTGAGCCACTGCGCCCGGCAACTTTTGACTTCCAAAAAGCTTTACTACCAATAATTGACAGAAAACCTTACTGATAACACAAATGGTTAATTAATACACATTTTGTATGTATTACATACTGTATTCTTATAATAAGCTAGAGAAAATTATTATATTTAGAAAATCACAATAAAGAGAAAATATATTTACTATTCATTAGGTAGAAGTGGATCATCCCAAGAGTCTTTATCCTCGCTGTGTTCACATTGAATAGTCTGAGGAGGAGGAGGATGAAAAGGGACTAGTCTTGTTACAGGCAGAGGAGAAAGAGAACTGGCATGCAAGTGGACCAGTGCGGTTCAAGCCCTTGCTGTTTAACTGCATATTTTTTCCTTTCACTTCTTTTGCCTGAGCTAAAATCTGTCAGTTTCTGTAATTTTAGTTTTAGGGAAATGTATCGTCCTGCTTTGTGTCTTTTAAAACATTATTCAACTATCTCCACAAGTAAGCTATGGAGGCATGTATTGTCACCTTAATGACAGTTGTCCTTGCCTCCATTCTGTAGTCTAAATTTAAAGCACAAATTGGTCTGAGAAGTTAGTCTTGCTTCTGGTGAGCAGTCCTTGGCACAGAACCTGTTATTAAGTAAATTCCTCAAACTTCCTTCTGGCCCTCAATTCCCATAATAGTGTGGCTTCATGTGTTCGGACAGATTAGAAAATGTAACCTGGTGTCCTGATGTGTATTTTTCTGTCATTCACTTTCACTTCATTGTGAAGTGTGCTCCAATAGGACAAAAGACATTTGAGCACTCATTAAAACAAACAAACTTAACTAATAAGAAACTAGATGGCCCAGGGGATAATGCAGATCTTATTGTAAGATTAAAGGAAACAAAAAAAAAGTGTTAGTGATACAATTCAATTTAGCAACCATATGTTTACAACTTTACTTACAATATTTTGAAAAACTTGGATATATTTCAGTAGAATTCTATGTGCATATATAACTATGTTTTTCTTTTGTCATTTTTTTGTATTCTTGCATTTTGAGATCATTTATAATTTAAGCTTGAAAAACAACTTGAATTAGATCCCATTTATTGATTTACGCTCTAGGAAGCTTTCAGCTTATTACTCAGCCTTATCTACACACACACACACACACACACACACACACACACACATAAATATAACTGGCAGAGAAGTCTCTGCTAAAAATGGCTGCCAACAGACCAATTTTGTGATAATGTATGAATTTGTTTTTAAGTGAACATCAGATACTTTTTTCTGTTTTCTTTCTCATAAAGGTAACACATATAGGAATACTGTTCTAATGGACTCTATGCACATGCTTTGAGCATCAAGCTCAGATATCACAACTGTATTTGCTAGAATGATTTGTCAGTCCATTGTGTTATATGATTGTCAAATTGTACCTTCTATTTTGGATAACTTAAGAATAAGTTTATACTTTAATAGGAAGCAGAGAGTTTGATCAAAATTTACAAAATGACTTCAGGGTTTTTAAATGGAGCAAATTTTACACAGAGTTTTGATCTTTTTCAGAGTCAATAGTGGGTGCAGTCGCTTTGTCTCTTGGTCCCAAAAAGAAGTGTCAGTCTAATATTCACAGGTCACAGAATCAAGCAAGTCCTGTAACTGTAGCCAGAAAAGAGCCAGGAGACCTTTTTTTAACTGGCTGTTTTATTTGTATCAGTCTATCAAGCCCTATAATTATGCTTGACTGACAGACATATGATGTTATTGTTGGTCGTGTAGAACCCTCTGAGGTGTGAAATACGATGCTGTTGTGCAGC